ACAGTTTGTCTGAAATGGAACTCATTATCTTTCCCTTTAGACCCTCCCCCCCCACCTTCCCTATTATTGTAGAGGGCACCTTCCCAGTCCATCATGCTTGAAACCTAAGGACCATCCTTGACTCCACACTATCTTTCATTCCCCATATCCAATTGATTGCCAAAGCCTGTCAATTTCATCTTTGCAACATCCCTTGAATACACTCCCTTCTTTCTTTTAAAACTGCCACCGCTCAGGTGCAGGCCCTTATCACCTTGCACTTGAACTAATGCAATAGCCTGCTGATGGGTCTACCTACTTCAAGTCTTACTCCACTCCAATCCATTCAAATCAGCCACCCAAGTAATTTTCTTAAAGCAGAGGTCCTATCATGGCACCCCTGTACTCAATAAACTCCAAAAACTACCTATTGCCTTCAGGATCAAATACAAAATCCTATTTAGGATTCAAAGCTTTTCATGACCTGGTCCCTTCCTAACCTTCCAGTCTTCTTATGCCTTGTTCCCTACAACATACTCTTCAATCTATTGTCAGTGGTCAAAGGTCTCCTTATTGTACTGTGAATCAGACACTCCATCTCTTAATTCCAAGCATTTTCTCTGGTTATCCCTCATGCTTAGAATGCTCTCTCTCTTTATCTCTCTCTACTAGCTTCCCTGGCTTCCTTTAAGTCCCAGCCAAAATCTCATCTTCTACAGGATGCCTTTCCCAACTCCTCTTAATTCTAGTGTCTTTCCTCTTTTATTAATTTATCCTGTATGTAGCTTGTTTATACATATTTATTTGCTTTTTGTATCCTCCATTAGATTGTGAGCTCCTTGAGGGCAGAGACTGTTTTTTGCCTCTTTTTGTATTCCCAGAGTTTAGCACAGTGCCTGGCTCATAGGAGGCAGTTAATAATTTTTTTTAATTGATTGATTGACTGAAGAAAGTGATAGATAAAATTTTAATAATGAAGATTAAATTTAAAAATGTGTAATGTGCATTTTTTTCTTTTTTTTGTTGGGGGAGAGACATGTATTTTGTGGGAATCCTGTGAACCACACTGACTTCATCTTGTGATTCAATCCTGGATCTAGCTCAGTTCCTTTTCTATTTTTTAATACTTTTTTGAATGACTGACTGAAGAAAGTGATAGGCAAAATGTTAATAATGCAGATTAAACTTAGAAGTGTATAATGTGCATTTTTTTTTCTCTTTTGTTGGGGGAAAGACATATGTATCTTGTGGAAATTGAGTGAACCATGCTGACTCCATTTTGTGATTCAATTCTGGATCTAGCTCAGTTCCTTTTCTATTCAATTATGGGTCTAGTCCAATTTCTGTCTAGTAAGAAAACTTTATTCAATTGTTGGAATTGTAAGAACACCTTATTGCATTGTTTGAACCTATCTCTGTGTGTCTGGGAAGCTGGACCACCTGCTGCTTAGAGACCCTTAACCAAGGACCTAGGTTATGCTGACCAGAAACTCGGTCAGATCCAAAGACTGATGCAAAGAGTTTTCTCACAATTGTACATCTCAAGCAACTCATATGTCTTATCTGAAAACTGGCCCTATACTAGTCAATCAGTTATTGTTTTCTGCGTATAGTTGGAGAGGCAACCCATTGAGCTAATATATCATTACATATATTGTGCACAGCTATTTCTATAGTACATACTGTAGTCCTACTGCAAGCCAAACCCCCTATTAAACAGAAAAAAGAGAGCCAACTGCCTCACATCAAGCTGATAAAATGCTACTCTGGGAGTCAGGAAGACCTCTTGCTTCATATATCTACTGTCAGGTCTTCCTGACTCCCAGACCAGCACTCTATCAACTATAAGAGTGGGGAGATCTATTGACAGAAGCCCCCAGTAAAGAAGGATTTATGTTGTAGGGCGAAGGTTAGCTGTCATTTCTGAGATCTGAGACTAATAATTTCCAAGACTTTCTGCTTTACTCTCAGCCTAGATTCAATTTAAGTTTAGCCAAGAGGTGCTTAATAATTCACCTTTTAAAAAATTAGGGATTTTACCTTATTCTTTACACAATATAGTGAATTTAAACAAAAATTAAAAAGGGAGCACTTGGTAGGTTTGAGCAGGCTGTACAAATAGGTAATTATGTAAGAAATTATAAAAAGGATGTCAAAGGAGATGAGTGAACAACAAGATAGGCTGGTCTACAGGGGAGAAAGATGCATGTAAAGTATATATGCTCCATTGGCATCCTCTAAATGTCAAGAGATGGTTAAAATCCCTCAAGACATTGAGTGGCTTAATGTCCCTGTGACATACTTATGAAAAGACATGGATAATACAGACATGGATGTATAGTGACCAGCATCATTGGAGGAAGTGCCCCCATAGCTGAGTTCACAGAGTATCATGGGAATATCAGAGTAACTTAACTGTAATTTTTTTAAGCAAAGGTTGGATGACCATTTATGGTAGATGGTGTAAAGCGAAGTACTGATCAGGCACTGCTTAAGTCCCTTCTAACTAGAAAATTCTATGACTTTGTAACTCCGGATCCAGTCCTTATTTCCCAATCTGATTTTTCTATAGATGGGTAAGGGGTCTGGGTGACATCTGTCAGTATTGCAATCTTGAAAATGATTTGCAAAATAGCTTTGAGTCAAGTCATCATAAAAATCATGATTGCTTTTGCTGACCATTTAAAAACACTCCTTTGCCCCCTGATGTGTACATTTATAAATGTAAATGACACATCTGTTCTATGTTGTATATTTTTGTGGCTTAATTTCAGGAAGCTGGTCATATTTACCGACACATGAGGCATTTCTTAGGGTTTTAATCTCATTGGCTTGCCCAGTAGTATTTGAATGGAGAGGATAAGGAAATGTTCCCAGCCAAGTGGTTTCTGAAATCCCTGAGCAGGAAGCAAAGGGAACTACGTGGTCAATGGAGGAAAAAACAAATTGCCACTGATATCTTCTTTAGCTGGACTTCAAGGGATAGAGTAATGATACTTGACTTTGTATCCTCAGGAAACAGAATTTGAATTGCCCAGAGCTTCCATAAATGTGTATGCATGTAATTTATTTTCCACCTACCCAAGGGAAACTGATAAATTAATCAGAAAATTCAATCACATTTTCCTACTCCTTCAAAAGATCCTGAAAAAAAATCAGGGGAATAGATTAGACAGGCTGAGGAAAGAAAGAAAAAGAAGTTATCACCAAGTGTCCAATGCATGCTAGATATTGTATAGAAACTATAGAGTGGGGCCTAAAGGGATTTGCATTCCAAGAAGTATAGGGGAAATAGAACAGAAAAGGAAAAGAAGTGTTTTGTTAGCTTCCAGATGAAGGAAATAACATAAGTCAAATTGTTTTTGGTAAGTTTCATTCTATCTAGATTTTAATCATACTGAATTTCAACGTACATCAAGAAACATGCATTCATTGTTAACATTGTTTCTCTTATGCATATATGCAATGTTATTTTACATATCTTTGCATAATAAATATTTTTATTGCTATTCCTTGGTTTGCTTTTTCTTTTTGATGGAAGTTAAATGCCTTTGGGGTATGTTATTTTTAAGAGATTACATAATATCTCTGAGACCAGATTTTAAAGTTGGCACTCTGTTTCTGCCTGAACATTAAAAATATTGGTAGATCAAATTAGAAGAGAGGACAAAAAAGGAAATTGATACTCATGGGAAGGAACGTGGGAGGACATGCGTACTAATGCACTTTTGGTAGAGCTGTGGATTGGTCCAACTCTTCCAGAAAGCAAATTACATCTATACCCCAAAAGTCATTTAACATATATCCTCAGAACCAGGGATACCACTCTTGGACATATACCCTAAAAATATCAAAGGAAGAGAGAAAGGATCAACATACTGAAAAATACTTGGAGCAATGATTTTTTTTTCTTGTAACAGAGGACTGGAAACAAAGTTGCTGCCCATAAGTGTGTGAATAATTGACTAAAATATGAATGGAACTGGGAGAACTGTTATATAATGACCAGAGCATTACAAATAACTAATAAATGCTGTAAATACTTAACTTATTCTCTTCCCCTATTAGAATGTAAACTACTTGGGAACAGAGAGCACTGCATTCTTTTCATCTTTATCCCTGGTGCTAACACGGTGCCTGGTATATAGTTAGAGATTAATAAATATTTGTTGATTGATTGAATGCAATGGTCAATCACCACTGTAGAAGACAGATAATGAAACACTGCAGATGCAGAATGAAGCAAATGTTTTTAGACATGTCCATAACATGAACACAATTTTGTCAATATTTTTGATGATTGTTTTTGTTCATGATAAAAATTAGAAGGAAACATTGGTAGGTGCAAATTACATTCATAGATGCATATAAATCAATGTATCAAGGGTATGATTTCAAAGGTGAATTCTCCTTAATGAGAATACTAAAACTTAAAGTCTTAGAGATTTGCCTGAGGTTCTGAGCTATAGTGACTTGCTCATGATCACTTTCATACACACACAAAAGAAATATTCACGTGCCATTAAAATATCATGTTACATCATTTCATGTCATAGCATGTATATTATATTATATTATATTATATTATATTATATTATATTATATTATATTATATTATATTATATTATATTATATTATATTATATTATATTATATTATATTATATTATATTATATTATATTATATTATATTATATTATATAATACTATACCATTATATGATATCATATAATACTGTGTCATACACTATCATATCATATTTTATCATACCATACCACACACTGTATCATATCATGTTATGATAATTTTATTATATTTATTATACTATATCATATTGAATTATATCATATCACATGTTAATATTATAACATATCCTATCATCTTATATTATATTGTATCACATCATATCAAATCACACCATATATAATCAATTATGTCATATCACATCACATCAAGCTGCATTATATCATGTCATATCACATCACAACATATATCAAATATCAAATCATGCTATACTATACTGAACTGTACTATACTATACTATATACTACAATCAGAGGTATCATGGAGTGACATGGTTGATAGAAGACTTATCTGGGTTCAAGTCCTATCTCGAATATGTAGTAACTGTATGATCATGGGTAACTCAGTGAACTTTTCAATATGAGATACATAAATAAGAAAAATAGCCAGAACAAACTAAAACACCTTATCAGAATTTTCATGGAATATTTGAAAATATGAATGTTTAGTTTTTTAAAAGTTCTAACTAAAACATCACTATAACTAATAAATTAATTGTGCTTTATTTAATTTTCATTTGTTTGTTTTCTGTGACTCTATAAGTTACAGAAGAATTGCCCAATTTGGAGATGAGATTCTGATCTGCATTGATAGAGGGCAGAAGTTTCTACACCGGAATTTCCATATGTAGACACAATCATAGACCAGGACCAAATATATACTACTACATCCAATGCATAGATGTATGCATATGTCAAATTGATTTATGCATATGTGTGCATTGTACATATGTTTGTCAAATACGCATAAGTATATATTTGATAAAGACTGGAATGTAGATATAGCTATCATGACTCAACAATGGCCTTCAGGTTAAAGAAGGGTGATGGAATTACGTGCCTAAACCTCTTGGGGCCAGAAACTTGAAGCTGTTGGTTATTTGGACAAATGGATGCCACTTTTATTTAATCCAATCTTCATTTATTTAATCTAATCTTCATTTTTTGCAACCCTTATTAGCATGCATTGCTAGTGACTTCCAATTTACTCAAAGTACTCAAAAGTAATACATTAGGCAGATATTCTAAGTTTATAGATAAAATCTCATTTATATACATAAGGCAAATGAGGCAAAAACTTGCCCAGGGATCCAGGTCTCTAGAAGAGCCAAGAATTTAAAATTCAAGTCTCTGAGCTCTACTTTGTCTCCCACTCAACCATAAGGATTCATGCTCAAGTGTTTCTGGATGGAATTTGGTGAATTTGCTATCTAGTTAGCTAGGATCTCAACAGGCTGGTTGGTTTGTAAATGAGAGTTCTTGATAAGAGACAGACCCTCTGAAGCAGGGTTGGTAGAAAGTCTTCAGCAGAATGGTCTAGTAGGCAGAGTTCAACAGCTAGAAGCAGACAGCTAGAGCAGACAATGCCCAGTTGATCATTGCTCCCATCTCAACCACCTCAATGCTTTTTACTTGTACTAATGTTACGGTTTCCAACAATAAGTAAGAGAAGATAGTGAGCATCCCAAGCACTTTCTGAAACCCCAGAGTAGCATCTGAAATGAAAAAAAAAAGTTGGCATTTCATTGCTATAAATTAAAAATGGACCTGTTTTTTTCTTCCTGTAGTCACTTTGCCTAAAAAAAAAGGCTTGCAACACTCGGTTGAAAATTTGAGCTGACCTTTGGACCATGGTGGTGATAGTGACTGATGATAATTCAAATTTATGAGCCCTTTGAAGCTTCCAAAATGCTTACCTCAATATAACTGTCAGGCAGGTAATCCAAAGGTTATTATAATTGTAAGCCTGGTTTTCCCTTTCATCTTTGAGTTACCATCCTTTACGCAAGATAAAACCATCCTTCCTAGACACTCCCTTCCACTGTAAGACCTCCTGCTACAAACCCCTCAATGGGATTGTCTCACCAAGTAAAGGCAGACAAACTTACAATCACCAAAATGTCCAGGAGATTAAAGCCTTCTGAGTTAGATGACATCTAATGTGTTTAACTTCCCTGCCACTTGCATAATGTAAATGAAAATCTCTGGCAGAGAGACGATAAAAACATTTTCTGTTTAGGTCCATGCAAAGTATGAAACAAGAGAAATGATGCTCTCTTATTAGAGCATTGAAATGGTGAAAAAAGAACAAAGTGTCTGATGAAAGAACCACAGGGCTGACTATATAGGAGGAGAGGGAGAGGGAGGGAAGAGGAAAGGGAGAACAGAGAACAGAGGGAGGAGAGAGAGAGACAGAGAGAGAGTGAGAGAGACACACAGAGAGAGAAAGTGATGGAGACAGAGACAGAGAGAGACACAGAGACCAAGACAGAGGGAGAAACAGAGAGAGACACAGAGAGAGACACAGAGACCAAGACAGAGACAGAGGGAGAAATAGAAAGAGAGAGAGAGAGAGAGAGAGAGAGAGAGAGAGAGAGAGAGAGAGAGAGAGAGAGAAAGAGAGTGTGAAAGACAGAGAGAACTTGCTATGTTTTAATGAACTACCTTTAGAAAAATCAATTGTTCTCTGAAAACAGTTTTAATCACCTGCTTTATTTATTCTACTGAGGCTATTTAACGATGATTGCCTAGACTGATTTATCACTCATTATAGTCTCTGCTGGTTTTTTTCAGAAATTTTGGAGAACCCCGGAGGATTATTTCTATACCTGAAGCCAAGGACAGCAGTGTGAATGTAGACTGAAGTAGGTTTCTGCCTTTACAGATGCTGTAGTCTTGGCAGGGAGCTGAAGATGACATTTTCTTGGTTAACATAACCTCCTCTGTGTGTCAGAGAAGAGAAAATTATATTAAACATCATGGAAAAAACAATGCACAGTCTTTAAATAATATTCTGTCACTGGAAGTACCAAGAATTCACTGGAATATATATATTTTTAACACATGTAGCATCAGAGGAACCATCAGTTAAAACTCCTATTCCTATGGCAACCATCAAAAGCATTCAACTAATGAGACATCCCCCTAAGTTACCCCAGCATAATGTGTTCTTACCACCCACCTCTCCTTTTGCTTTGCTTTTCATTAAAAACAAACACAAACAAACAAACAAACAAAAAACTCACCCTGACCTGTGGAATCTATTCTGAAAATGCTCTTTGCTGGTCAAGAAGGGCTGGTATTCAATATCCAAAAATTCAAATTGCAAGCATGACAAAGATAGTGTCCATCCCAGAGGAGAGACAACCAGACCCCAGGGGAGAGTGCAGCCCCCTTCATAGACAGATAGATGCCTTATGCTTCCTAGATCTGTGAAGTTGAAGAGCTCATTCTTTCCAAAGCCAGACTTGTCTCTGTGAAGAGGTTCCCTTGAGTTACAACTCTGTTCAGTGGGAACTACTATGTGGGTGCCGTATGTGATAAAAGCTGAGCCAATTCATACCCACTGTGCTGGGAGTGAGGCTCCAGAAACATTTCTAACATATTCTCAGGAAGTTACAGCAGTTAGTCAGAAGTACAGAGAAAAGAAAAAAAAAACCTTCCAAGTACCCCATGGAAGCTGGGTGATAAGAATAATAATTCACATTAAGGTTTGTAAAATGTGTTTTCATGTGCAGTGTCCCAAAAGTCTTAGTGCAGCCTTAAGCTTTAATTATATTAAACCTCATATGGTATTTCATTTAGTCTTAATGACAGCTCTACTAGGTAGGTCCTCTATCACATTTGTAAGTATTTGAAGGGGGATTTAATCCCTAGTCTTCTGGATCTTAGTCAAATGCTCTGATCTCTACCCCATGGTGCCTATAGGCAATAGAGTACATGGAAAAGAGGACTAAACTTGGAGAGATTAACTTGATATCATCAGATCTGAGTTTGAACCCCTGTTGTGCCACTTGCTGAATGACCTTAGGTAAGTCACTTTCACCTGGGTGGGCTTGTATTTCCTCATCTGTAAAATGACAGAATTGGACTAGATAACTCTATGGTCACTTCTGTCTCTAGCTCTATGATGGAGAGCAACATTCAGATTTTACTCCTCTGCTGACTTTAAAGGCTTTGCCTCCTCCCCCTGTGTGCCCTTATTTGGAAAAGTAGGAAAATGAGAGAAGAAAAGAAAAGGCCCAGATACAATTGAGTAGTATTATCTCCTCCTCTTGCTGAACCTTTAAGAGACGAGATGATTTTGCAGGTAACAATGGCCCAGGATTCCTCTGAGCAGAGAGCCTACTCTAGCAATATTAAGATGCTTACACAAAAGATGTTTAAGTGACCTCATTTACTTTGTTGGAAGCATTCAGCTGACCCTTCTGAATCATAGAGAACTATGGTACCCAACTAGATCTCTGCACACACCTTCTGTGACCATTTTCTCTATTCTTTTATTCTACCTCAACCCAAATATCTGGTTTGTTAATGAATTTAAGTTGGCTCTTGCCATGAGCATTATACAAATTTGTTGTTGTTATTGTTGTTTATCATTCAGTCATATTTGACTTTTCATACTGTCCATGGGTGTTTCTTGGCAAAAATACTGGAGTGGTTTGCCATTTCCTTATCCACTGGATTAAGGCAAGTAGGGTTAAGTGACTTGCCCAGGGTCACATAGTCACACAGTTCAAATACAGATTTGAACTCAGGTCTTTCTGACACCAGACCTAGCACTCTATCTACTGAGCCATCTAGCTGTCCCTATTATATAAATAGTAAACAGTAAGAAGAACACTTTGTTGAGCTAAAATCTGGCTTCAAACACTTACAAGGTATGTGACCCTGGGCAAGTCACTGTTTGCCTTGGTTACTTATCTGTAATATGAGCTAGAGAAGGAAATAGCAAATCACTTCAGTCTCTGCCAAGAAAACCCCAAATGGGGTCATGAAGAGTCAAATGTGGGGACTAAACAACAACCACAAATAGAACAGAATAAACAGGAGTCAAGTAATGAGGATTCTGGTCCTGAATCTGCCATTACTTTGCTCTGTCACAGTAGGCAAATCACTTAACCATTCTAAGTCTTTGAATCTTCATTTGTAAAATGAAATCTTTAGATTAAATGGTATCCCCATTCTAAAGGATCCCCGATCTAAAATTCTATGATATGTAGAACTGAAGTCAATGGAACTATTGGGTTTTCTAAAAATATCAAAGCCCCGTGACTTTTGCTTTCACTTTTATAAAGCATGGAATTAATTTGTCATCAGATCTTGAAATTCCAGTAAGATTCTATAATTCTGGGTTAGATAATAAATGCTTAATTGCGCCATGAGGGTATGATATAGAATTATGATAGAGGTAGAAATTATGTTATTTAAATTGGGGAAAAGGCAACTAGTTTAATAGCTATTCCTCAGCTGATTATTTTTTTAAATTCAGGTTTGAAATATTTGACTTTCTTAAGCTAAGTGACTCTAGGTTAGTTGTAGTCTGTGTAGGAGTTGGCATATATAAGAGAGAAAGCATATAGCAAGACCTCCAGTGATTGTCCTGGAACTCAATGCATTACCTGGTCAGTCTCCAAGCCTCTTGTCCTTATCATGCACACCATCCCTAAGCTTGTGGAGATTTTCAGTGGAACAGAGAATGAGGCTGGCAGATCACCCTTGTCAATAAAATGGGAGTTGTGAGCATCAAATGAGACTCTTGTTTTGTCCTTGAATAAGTGCATTGCAAGGGGTCCATGCATCATACTGGGTGAGGGCTTCCACATTTTCTCTTAACATTGTGAGTACCCCAGTGGAGCACATAGGTTGTCCATGTGTAATCTTTCTATTCAGCTCTAAAGCTTCTATTTTCCTTTTTATAGACAAGGTCAAGATGGATCCATTTTAGTTTCCCCAGTAGAATTCCCTGGTCTTTGAAAATAATCTCACATTGACACATACCAGCTGTGTGACCTTGGGCAAGTCAGTCACTTAACCCCAATTGCCCCCCCCCAAAAAAAAGAAAAAGAAGAAAAGAAAATAATCTCACATCTATGGTATCAATACTTAATCGGCAATTTATGGCAAGAATAAGAACTTGACTTCATTAGCATAGGGCACTTCTGGCAACGAACATCCTCTATCACTGCAGATTGGTATCTTTCCTTTCTTTTCATTTTATAGTCTAAGACAGTCACCTGGTGCCCTGAGAAGTTAAGTGACTTGCCTAGGTTCACATAGCTAGTAAATATCGAAGAAAGGACTTGAACCCAAGTCTTCCTGGCTCCAAGGTCCACTCTCTATCCATTATGCTATCATGTCTGCCTCTCCTGCTGCCTTTATAAACAGTTTAAAAACCATGAATCTTAGCACCTTCTGCCTTTTTTTTCTGCCTCTGTGCCACCATCAACACAGAAGAGGAATGGGACATATGGGATTGAGCAACACTTTTTTTCATGATTTGCCATGGTCAAAGAATTCATCACCAAGTCAAGTCTAGTGGTGACAGTACTTCTCTGACACAAAAGGGCTTTCATGAAGAATGAGAGGCACCAGATCACACTTACCAAGTTGGTTATCATAAAGCAGTATCAATTTGTTGCCAGAATTTTGCTCACAGCTCATTCAGCTTGGGAGTGTCTGCCGAAGTTGGTTCCTTGCTGACACAGCCCTGAGAACCCAGGGTCACCTTTGTGACTTGATGACTCTTTGGAATAATATTTTATAGCTACCCACTGATGTACCATCTTCATAATGGAAATTGTATTAATATGTTTGGAATGAATATACTTGTGGCAAGGGAAAGTCGTTTCTTTGATTAAAGAAAGTATTGCCAGTACTTGAGAACACCATCCAATGGCAACCTTAAAATCTATAGGGAAGTAATATGGCATATGGGATTGAATGAGCTACTTAGAATCAAAAAGACCTGGGTGTAAATACTACTTCTGAAATTTAGTGCTTGAGTGACTAGAGATTAATTTCTTAACCTTTTTGGGTTTCAGTCTTTTTACTTGGAAAATGGACATAATACCTCTGTTACCTATAACACAAGGCTGTTGTAAAGCTCAAATGCAATAATATGTAGAAAGAATTCTGCAACTTCAAATTACTATATAAATGTCAGCTATAATTATCTGTCCTGGATTCCTCCTCACTTCTAAAATGCTATTTCTCAAACAAGACATCTTGCACAGCCCCCAGCAATAAGCATGTGGGCCATGGTGATGCGATTTCTGTGTGTGTGTGTGTGTGTGTGTGTGTGCGTGTGCGTGTGTGCGCACGCGCATGCATGAGCATGTGTGCATGCGCATTTCCTTCAAAAATCACAGTGCAGCCATGGAGCTATGGCTTTTCTTTCCACAGCAGAGTTGGCCCAAATATTTTGAAATTGTTCCATACAATTTCAGTCAGTAGAATAATAGAATCTCTCTATTTAAAGAAATTCAGGATAGGTCTAAGAAAGAAAAAAATCCCAAATAAAGTAAGAGATATTCCTTATGGTGAAAATGTGGAAAATTACATATCCTTGCCACTCTGCCCCCCAATCTGTATTAACTGAATGCTTTCTCAGTGGTACCTCGATTCAATTCAATAAAAATTATCGAGTACCTATTATTTGTTTTTTCCTATAGAAAATACAGATAAGAGGCAACCACTTTCTAAAGATGTTTCCAGTCTAACAAGATGAAATCACACACACACACACACACACACACACACACACACACACACACACGCACAACCAGAATTCAAAATAAAAATGAAAGGGGAGAGAGAGAGAGAGAGAGAGAGAGAGAGAGAGAGAGAGAGAGAGAGAGAGAGATCCATATCAGTTCAAAAATTTTTGCCAAAAGCTCACTTGAAAAACAATGAAATTTCATGGACCCCCACAACTTCTTTTCCTATCTCCTTTCTTCCCTCTGTTAGGATCTGCTTTTTTTGCTTTGTTTTGTTTTGTTTTTGTTTCCTCACTTCAAAACCATTCCAGGTAGGCATTTAATGCTCTCCCCATGGGCAGACAAGAAATTAATTCCTGTTGCAGCAAAAAGTCTAGTATAGACTTCTTGGCTAGGCTAGAACTTGGCCTCACTTATGAAAGTTTTTTTGGGAAAAACACTCAGGCTGAGCTGAACAAAGTGCGGGGCTGGGAGGGGGTGTATGCCATGGTAGAGTCACAGCAGCTGCAGGTGCAGGAGGCTGTGGACATCATGGTGAAAGGGCTGGAGTGGGAGAATATCCACAACATGCAGGGTACCAGATTATGTGCGGTGCCAGCGGCTGTGAAGATACCAAGGCCTCCATGCAGGAGGTTCATCAGTGCATAGAATGCTGCCATGCTCTACTGGCCCAGGCCCAGGCCCTTTTGACCAGTGAAATGGAAAAATTCCAGGACCACCTGGCTTGATGCACCATGCACTGCAATATCAAAGC